TGATCTTAATGACTTGCCTTGTGGCTTGACATGACCAATGGTCAAGAATAAGTCAAATTCTATATGGCTGCCAAAATGCTGTTAACAAACTATATCAAATAATAACTTTAAAAATATTGAAACAAGCCAGGCAAGCTGGCACGAGCATCTCAGAGCATTTCAAGTGAGGTCGGCCTGGACAACTTAGTGAGACTTGTCTCAAAATGAAAAGAGCTGGCAGGGCAGGGGGGGCACATTTGTCTTGCACGCACAAGGTCCTAGGCTCAATGCTCAGTACTGCTAAAAAAATTAAATCTTGCATGATCCTCATACAAATAGTAAAAATAAAGGGTTTATATAATTTATTAGTAAGTAAAGCACATACTTGGCAAAAGTGGTTCAAAAGAGAACTAAGCAGTCTTCTTGTGTGTAACACAAAAATAGATTAATAAATGAGACTTCATCAAAATTTAAAATTTGTATGCTTCAGAGGACATCAAGAAAGTGAAAAGAACACACAGAAAGGGAGAACTTGCATAACTCTAATAAAGGATTTGTATCTAGAATAGATAAAGACTCAAAGACACAATAATATTACAACTTAATAATGAAAGACAACTCAAACAGAATATAGACAAAGCGTATGAATAGAGATTGTGTCAAAGAACATAGTAAAATGGCCAATATGCACATGAAAGGATGTTCCACGTCTTTAGCCATTAGGGAAATATAACAAATCCATAAGGAGTTACCATTTTATACTGATTAGCTATAATAAAAATATAAAGATTATCAAAAGGACAAGTTTTGAGCTGGGTATAGTGGAGCACACTTGTAACTGCAGTACTCTAGGAGGCTGAGGCAGGAGGATCCTAAGTTTGAGCCCTAGGCAATGAAGAGACTTAGCAAGACCCTGTTGCAAAAGCAAAAGATAAAAAGAGCTCAGGATGTAGCTCAGTGTTAACACTTTGGATTCAATCCCTAGAAGTTAAAAAAAACAAAAAGTTGGAGATGTGGAGAAACTACAACCTTCATACACTGTCAGTGGGAAGTAGAGTGACAGAGCTCCCTTGGTGAACAGTCTAGTAGATCTGCAAAGAGCTAAACACAGAATTACACTTCTGACCCAGCCATTCCATATGCAGGTACACACTGAAGAGAAACGAAAACACACCCACACAGAAAGCATACAACAGCAGTACTCAGCCAAAAAGGAGAAACCACTCAAATACAAATTTTTTTTTGGAAAAAGAAAAAGTGAAAGTAGAAGGAAAGAATGGAAACAAAGCTTCTGTACCTAGGGAGGAGAGGGGGCTTGAGGGGGGAATGGGATGAAATAAAATTTATTTAAAAATTTAAAAAGAAAATGTGGTATATCCATCCACACCATGGGACTCTGATGGGGAATGAAGAAGAATGTAATATAGATGCATGCTACCATATAGCTGAGCCTTGAAACATGACGCTAACGGACAGTCAGAGACCACACAGGAGACAATTCCACTCACAGGACAGGTCCAGAATGGGTCATCTACAGAGATGGAAATCAGAGCCAGGGCTGCCAAGGGCTGGCAGGCAAGGGTGAAGAGGAAGTGACTGCTAGTGAATATGGGTTTGGGGGTGCAGGATACAAAAATATTTAAAATTGATTGTAGTAATGGCTGCACAATTCTGTGAGTATACAAAAAAATAACTGAATTGTACAGTTTAATAAATGAGGTGTATACTATTCAAAACCTACTTTTAAAATTAAGTAAACTGAATACACATATAAGATAAATATATACATATACAGAGTACAGAATTCAATTTTTAAAATTGGAATTTTCATAGTGAGTGGAAAAATAGAAATAACACTACCAAATCTGACACAAATTTGCTCAACGTCCCACAAAGCAGTAAAACTGTAATATTGAAGTTTTTTTCTACTAGAGAAAAAATTAATTATCCCAACTATCAGGTTACTATACATTAAATTCTAAGATGACGGTGTTGTAAACTGTAATAAACAGCAATAATAAGTATATGATACTAAAGTTCTATATTCTAGCGCAAGTTGCACAGGCTTCTTCTGTTTTATTTTCATGTCTTAGACAATTGTTCTTCACAAAGGTTTCTTGTGAGCACACCACAGTGATTTTCATCTCTGTTCAGTTAAGCAGAAGTAACAAGGTATTTCCTCTGAGCTAAACACATGGAAATAACAAACCTAAGAGAGGAACATCAGCGGTGAAGTCAGAGGAAGTCATCAGAAACAAAGGAAAACTTAACCAAGCTACTCTTAAAAGATAGTAGGGTCTTTAAAAACCTGTATGTAATTAATAAACACAGCAACAACCGGATGTAGAGACACTGAAAATTCTCACTTGATAATAAGTATACTTACTTGAAAAGAAGAAATAGTACCTGAACAATGGAAGCGAAGATGTTACTGAGAGTTGAGAGACGTTTATAACCCAGCAAGAGAAGTGGTCAGGGACTGTGCCCTCAAATCGCTCCTCTGTGACTGTCTGGAGCCACGCCTGCAGGGAGGTACTGAGTTCACAGGAGGGCATGGCCGGCCCCTGAACCAGGGGCCCTGATGTGTTCACAGGAAGACGTGACAGTAAACTTTCATTCCTCACTCATGATGTGAGCACTTGGCAAGAAAGCAGCCATCTACTGGCCAGGAAGAGAGACCTTACACTCACTAGGAGTTTTGTTTCAGCCCCTGGAAGGTGAGTGCAGAACAAAGTTTCCCACGAAGCAGACCAACACAGCCAAGGGACAAGCTTGGGACGAGCAGACTGATCCCCAGGTTGGCCACATCACGGGCAAGTGACACAGAGAATCAAAACTCCAGCCAAACCAGGAAACAGACCAAGATAATCCAATCCTAGACCCTCTGCCTGCCAGAGGCATGAAGTACATAGGTGGAGTGGAAACCTCCTCAGCAAAGAAGTGAGACAATCCCAGGATGCTTACAGAAGTCTGTTCTAAGGCAGCTATTTTAATGAAATATGAAAAGCCATTCACAACTGTCAGCTGAAATGTCCCTAAGTATCCACAGATTTTAAGTTTGAACCTCAAAAACAGAAAGATACCTTATTTAAAAGAAGAAAGAAGATAATAAAAGTGTGGTTCTCAAGATATCATATTCTATGGCTGTCTATGTACTGAATTTCCCCAGTGCAGTCACTGAGCCTCCGCAAGGGCTAACAGACAGAAAGCCTGGCTAAAGGTAAAAGATAGAACCCCAGCGAATGTCTGGCCTGAGACCCTAATTTTGCCAGGGGTTCTCCAAAGATTTTTTTTGTTTGGAGGTACTACAAGCAAAGTACAGCTTATTTCTGTGGGCACTGAGCTGAAATTCAGTCAGAGACCAAAGGCCCCGAGGACCCTGAGGCAGGCACTGGGTTAATGGTAGCTCTTCTCTGATGAAAAGAGCTGGCTGTGAGTTGAGAGCAGTGTGCTCCTGCTCCACTGTCTCTTTTAATTGTGCATCTTGGCTGTTGGACTCTGGCAAATGCAGGGAGCAGGCGACATCTAATTGTAAAGATAAGAACAAATGCTCAAATTTAGGAGATGAGAAAGCTTGGAAGGAAACCAACCCAAAGCCAAAAGAAACGCGACCATCATCTAAGAACAAGAGCTGGCAAAGCTCATTTTCACTTAAATGCAGAAAGTAGCTATTTAAGGGGCTAGAGAACCTGAAACAATTTATCAATGAGTGATCATAGCTAAAAATACCCAGATAACAAGCCCTGGAGATTCTGAAAGTCAGTGAGAGGTATCTTAAAAGGGCAAGAGGACTGCAACACAGCAAAAAGCAAACTAGAGATGTGAAGCTTAAAGAGTAATTGAACACTCTGAAAAATCCAAGATATTAACAAATATGTGTAAAGATTTTAAAATGCGTAAGAGTTAAGTCAACACTAGAGATTAGGTACCAAATAATTTCTGCATGAATACTCCATATAGTTAATATATGTTGAAAGTAAAAAAAAGATTTGTGACATTATAAAAATGCATCAATCAACTTGGAAGGCATCCTTTTAAATGGAAAATAGTCTAAATGAAAAGAAGAAGGGCCGAGGGTACAGCTCAGGGGCGAAGTGTGGCCTAGCACATGCAAGGCCCTAAGTTCAATCTTAAACATCAAAAATAAAAATAAATAACAAGAAAAAAGCTAGAAATAAAGAAAACCATATGAAGTAAAGAGAAATTTACTGATTAAAACATATAAGGTAAATGAGTGCTATAAAGCAAAGATTGTTACCTGGCATATAAACAAGACAAAAACCTGTTATTCCTAAGAGACAAAAATAAGCCAAAACATAAATGGGCTAAGATCAAAGTTTAAGGTTTATTATTTCTTTCAAATACAAAAAGGGGATATTACTATCATAAAAATGGTATTAGATAATATTCAAAGGTATATATATAACTATGAAAATATAAGAATAGCACATCTTAATGTTTAAAACATTATAGTGCAATATGTTCTGAAAAAAGCTATGAAAATTGTCAAATACAGTTACATCCACAAGCCTCAACAGAATATCACAGCAGATGACACAAGCAAGGAGTGAAACATCTCAATGAACTGGAGACCATGACCAGTATCACTTCCTGACTCCATGTTTCTATAACTCTTATGGACAAATGACAATATACAATTATTCATATCCTACCAAAAGCTGTGGTTCATCTGTTTGTCACTTAGAACCACTCAATGATTTTAGTCTTACAAAAGGTTACAATGACCATCAACTTTAATTTACTTCTCTGTGCTTTGTTCTCCAACATTTGCCATATAAGCCACTTAATATATTATTGGTAATCAGTGTCCAATAAAATATTTGCTGAATAAACACACATATACCAATGAGAACAACAGCAATAACACTAACAACATAGCTACAGTCATTGAAAAGAATTCCAAATGTAGGATAGTACTTTCCTTCTTACCCAGACACAGACCTATGTTAAAACTATGTAACAAATACCAAGTAAAATTTTAAAAAATTATTTCTACTGACCTTGTAAGAATATAAGGCGAAAACGAAGCTGGATTATCCTGCTCTGAAAAGAGGGGCATAGATCCTCCCATTATCCACAGACGGAAGTACAAAATGATAATGACCTTAAGAGAAGAAGAAGATTTGGTAAGACAGCCACCAGCAATCTCTTTCCTCTCCATCTGTACATTTCACTCCTACTATCAAGAAATAGTCAACTCCCCTCAAATCTGGCTTGGTCTTCTGACACATAAGACCAAGAGAATATGGCAGAAGACACACTATGTAACTCTAGGTCTGACCCTAGAAAGAACCGCAATCTTTGGTTCCTTCTTTTAGAACCTAGCTTCCCGTTGTAGGGAAGTCCTATCCTAGAAAGAGTGGCCATAGGGAAAGGCCCAAGAGGAGGATACACAACAAAGAAAGAGCATGTACTGATCTTCTCTTTAGGTAGGTGAAAAAACCTTGCCTAAATAACTCCCACCAAAGATCAGGATGATCAGAAGAATGACCCCACTGCAGGCTGCCCAAATTAAAGCATTTAGAACAAATACGTGGAGACTGTATTTACACCACCAAGTTTGGGAACATCTGTTATACAATAGAAAATGGTCCAGCCAGGCCATATCACCACCTCTAGAGACAGCTCAGCCTTAGCACCTTGAAAGGGACTTGTTAAATACTGTGCAGTTCACATTGTGTGTGTGTCTGTAGGTTCACAGATATCTAGGATGCTTTTGCATATACCTTCCAATGTTTTGCGACATTTATGGCCTATAAATTCTGAGACATCAAGATCATGTTGCTAGAATCTATGGTTGATTCTATTAAATAACCTGGATCATGCCTCTGATTACTTATTAGGTATTGAAGGAGGATACATATACTTACATAACTTACAACCAAAATGGCCCTTTTAAAAAATGGCCTCATGGTAAGCAGGCAATTCCTATCGCTGCTTGCTGTCAGAGACCTGCAATGGGAAAAGAAAAACAAAAAAAAGGTAAGTCCAAGAGTCTACTGCATAATATTCCCCCTTCCACGTGAATGTGCTGAGGCTCCCAAGCTCAGCACCAAGCTGAGAATGCAGCCTTAGATCCACGCAGAGCACTGACTTCGAACCCCCAGAGCTGCTACATGCAACCCAGGAGACCAGGGCAAGTTTCTTCGTTTTTCTGAACATTAATTTTTCTCACTCTGGGGGACAATAACAGCTACAGGAAAGTAAAGTATCTGCTTTACAGGAAAGTACAGATGACAGAAAAGGACTAGCCCTGTTAGCTATAAACGTTGCTATTTCCCATAAATAACCTACTAGTCACTCTGACAACTTTATGGTTACACTGGTCACAGGGCTAATGTTAAAAAAAATAAGAGCTGGCATTTACCCACATAATGTAATTTGAGGAGCACAATGTCCTCTTCTCACAAAATATCTCACACATGTTTTAACCCTAAGAAAAGAGACGGCTAAAGCTGCATAAGGTTAGGTAGTTTTTAGAAAGTTTAAGTTAGGGAATATCGGTGGTGGACCAGAGCTCACACACGGACAATGAACGAAGAATTTTCTCATCCGTGTGTGGCCCTTAGAACCAAATGGGTTACAAGATTGTCAGCTTCTTACTCACACAAATGAGGAGTCCAGACATGCACATGGAAGACAGGACCAGGTGGTTTTCTCATAAAGACAATGAAAGGGAAGCAAGAGGCGCTATGTTAACAGTCCCAGCTCCATGCAAATGTCTACTTTTAAAGTGTGGACTGAAGAAAGAAGCTGAATCAAACCGCATAATCCAGTAGGCATTTTCCACCACAGCCTTTCGTTTCCCCACCCCTTTCCCATTTTTTCCTTTTAACTCATCTTTTTTTCAAAAGATTTCTCCCCAGCAGCTCTTCATATCCACATGTGAATGAGGTCTCCCCATCCAGGGGAACCTTCTGAAAGGACAAGTGAAAGCCTCACAGGGCAGTATCCTCACAGACACAACCACCCTGAGGCCTGCTTACAAATGCACAGGGTTCCTCTGTAACAAGCGATTTGTACCTGGGTCAGTCTTGCTTCAAAATAGGTCTCTTCCTCCCCATTCTGCTTTTCCTTATCCTGCTTCATAAAAAACTCTGCAAGTGACCCAAGGCTCAAATCTGACTATTCAAGTTTTAAAGACTAGAGAAAATGAGGAGCCCTGAAACACAAAACAGTCAGCAACTAACAAGCACTGGTAACCTCCTTTCTTCTCTCTTAGACTCCAACAGGGACCTTGCCAAGGAGGAAGGCCAGGAACATGCGCAGCTCTCATAGCACAGGTTCAGGGCTGCTGTCCCAGAAGGGGCACTAAGGGAGGCCTGCAGTTGTGCATGAAGCTTCATGGAGGTCTGCATCAGTGTAGGTCTGCATCAGTGGATTCTTCTGCGGCCAAGTCCTTGGTTTTGATGTTCTGTGACACAAGGTCTGTGATCCCTAAAAGGTGAAGCATTGCTAAGCACCCTTCTTTCGCCTTTACCTCTACTGTGACTCATTTTCAGGCCGATGAACCAAGACCAAGCCTCTTTTTTCTGTGTTTCCTTTGCAAGAGAGAAGATAGTGAGCAGCCTGAGGTCAAAGAGAATGAATGGCAGAGTGGGTAGAGAAGGTGCTGGGGAGGACAGGAACCATAACCCTCTGAATGAGAGAAGGGTTTCCTGGGTGCTCTGCTTTTGGAAGCTTCCTTTCTCAAGTTCCCTCTGTTGCTAGTCTATTGTAACACAGTGGAAAAATTAGCAGTGGTTTTCCTTTCTATAGAACAACAAACCACAGAGTTTAGGATCTTTTTCAATGCTAAACTTAAATGAATTTCCCCATATACTGTTTTACTGAACATTTGCTACAACAGTTATTTCAGTAAGTTATATTTATAAAGTGTCCTCTGGACTAGAAATTCTTGGAGAAAGTCCATTTCCTCAAAAAGTTAAGTAAAAGGCACCATGCAATTTACTCCTAAAATGTTATATCCCAAAGGAATGAAAGCCTAAAATAGTAAAGAGATCAGTGGCTGGAAAATAAGCCTTCAAGACTTCTATTGCTAGTTGTTGACCAACAGTAAATGGGAAAATAAGCCAAAATGACACAGCATCCCTTTTTTTGGTACTGGGGATCAAACTCAGGACCTTGCACTTGCCAGGCAGGTGGCAGAACCACTGAGCTAAATTCCTGGCCCTAGTGTCCTTTTTTGATGAACAGTAGGGCAGAGGCAGAGATCCTTAAGCTCAGCAGGGATCAGGCCATGAGCTGAGTTCTCTCATCCTTTCCTACTCTCCAGCCCACAACACAGTGGGACAGTGGGACTGTCCCCATCAGTCCATTACATACAGATTCTGTGCTTGATCAAACTTTAGTCAAGCTGCTGAACCTTCTCTTAGGCCCATTTGTACACTTTGTTGTAAAATCCAGTTTCAGTAAGAAAGTTGTTAAATCAGTTTAGCAAGAACTCTTCGATTTTAATAACTGATCTTCCAAAATATCTGATCAGGTTCCTCATCTTCTGCCATCCCCCAGATGATGTCTGATTATCCTGGCTTATCTTCATCAAGAATTCTGTTAGGAAAGTTTAACCAGAATACCCTTTTATCTGTGTTATGGCTTGTGTCTAGATGTCCCCCCAAAACCTCAGGTAGTCATAGGCGGGGCTTTTTCAGGGGTGGCTGGATCTAGAGTGAGTGATGCTGGAATTGATTCACGGTGCAATGCTAGGCTCAAGGGCACTAGGATTAAGAGTGTGAGTGTTAAGTATCCTGGATAAGACATAAGGGACAGAAAGAGCTGTGGTTGTCCCTTGTTGCTCTGCTACCTTCTGTCCACCACAGTTTCTCCTCTGTGATGCCCCTCTGCCATCCCACTCTGCCTTGGAGCCAGCTGATTATGGACTGAAACCTCTACAAACTGTGAGCTAAATAAACCTTTCCTCTTTTAAGTTTGGGTGGCTGGTTTTTTGTCTAAGCAATGAGAAAAGTGACTAAAACAATCTGTAATATTTCCTTTTAGTGATTTTCTATCCACTGACCCATCCACATCTTGCTCCTTGGCTATAATTTCCTATGTGTTGATTCTACAGACAACTCTCTCCTCCACTGCAAAACTCCACCACAGTAAACCATCTCTTGACTGCATTAGGTCTGCTCCATCTTGAATAAAGGCTTTCTTTCCATGATTTCATAACTGTGCTTTTGATACAGGAGATGAAATATGAAAACATTACATCTCCCAACCTGTTAGATGTCTGATACTCCAAGCTTGTATTCTCTAAAATCGAAGAATGAATTCTAGGAACAGAGGTTAAAAACAGGAAACCACAGAGGTTAAAAACAGGAAAATATTTATTGAGAGGATAGCTCTTGGGAGGCAGGAGGGGACCCAGATAGGTAGCTAGAGACCCCACTTTACAGGGAAGTTTTACAGAGCAAAACCCACACGGGTACAACATTCATTACAGCAATGATTAACCAATAAGGTTACAAGTATAGTTGCTAAGGTAACAGTGATCCAATGGGGAAACAAGTCACACGTAACTAGTGTGCATGGAAAGAACAAAGACTTTTTCTAGGGTTGGGGATTGAACTCAAGAGTTCAATCCCCAGTACTGGGAGAAAAAAAAAAAAAAGACTTTTTCTAGAAAATAATGGGTCCAGAGGTCTTGGTCACCCTCTGGGTGACTGATGTCTATCTAAACTTCATTAGGCCCAGCGTTACCTATTATCTTGTCCTTTGAGAAAGTATGCAGGCCTGGTCATTTATTGTAGACAGGTAAGTGAATTAGATATCTTACAGGCAGTTAGACAAGGCCTCCCTTAAGGGAACAGCCCTCCAGGAGCGAACAGGGAGAACAACTGAGGCACATTCACTGGTTAACATTATAAAAAGAAGAGGGACTACTTCCCCTAGAGGTAGATAGCAGTGATTAATATTCTAAATGGGGAATTCCTTGTATGTGACTTGTCTTCCCATTTGATCCCCATTTAATCAATATTACCTGGGTGATTATACTTGTAATCTTATTGGTTGATCATGGTTTTGTCCCACCTCATGCCCACCTTGTAAGTTTCCATTGGGTCTTATAGTTTTGTCCCACTTTGTACCCGCCTCACCACATGGCTTTACTGTATAAAACATCTTTGAAAAGTGGGGTGGGAGGGCAACCTACTTTCCTGTCCCCCTTCTGTCTGTCTTAGACAGAAGCTTTCTTTCTTTCAATCCATTTTGGATACCTAGCGGGTTTGGGAATTAGATCTCTTCCCCCTATATCAGTATCAGGATAATGCTTGCTTCCAGGAATGAGTTTGGGAGTACTGCTTCCCTTTCAATTTCATTAAAGAGTTTGAGGAGTAGTAGCATTAGATCTCCTCTAAATTTCTTGTAGAATTCAGCAATGAATCTGTAAGGACCAGGGCTTTTTTTGTTGGTAGATTTTTAATTATACCTTCAATTTCACTGACTGGTATTGGGTTATTTAGTATTTTTATATCTTCTCAATTCAGCTTTGTTAATTCATATGTATCTAAATATCTGTCCATTTCTTCTTTGAAAAGTGGGGTGAGTGGGCCACCCACTTTCTGGTCCCCCTTCTGTCTCTCTTAGACAGAAGCTTTCTTTCTCTCAATAAACTTTTCCTACTCTTAACCTCAGCTGTTTCTAGAATTCATTCTTTGATTTTAGAGAACACGAACTTTTGTTTCGGATACCTAGTAGATTTGGGAGTGGCATCTCTTCCCCCTATATCAATTTCACCTTTATCTTGAGGCGTAGTCCCTAAAAGATAGGTAATCTTTGTCCTGACTCCCGAGGACATAGCCCTATCTGATTCCCTATAAATATTCTACCTAACTTAGCTATCTATATGGAGAATATTTTTTCTTTTACACATATAATAAGATTATCAGTAAGTGCTTAGTGATCTGAACAGAATTTTAAAATCTTTCCCCTCCTTGGCCCTACAGTGCTAG